TAAATTGCAGTATTCATGTTCAAAGTAAGACATTGCCTATTGCCTGGGGATATCCAAAAGATGTTCTCTGAAAGGGAGGGAGGGTACGATTTAAGGGGAAGGGGAAATTTTAAGACTAATAGATGTAGAACAACAAAGAAAAGATTATGTTTATCAATTTGCGGAGTTAAATTGTGGAACAAACTAAATGAGAACCTAAAGCAATTCCCAAAAATATTACTTTTCAAACAAATGTACAAAGAAATTATTTTCAAAAGGTGTAGAAAGTTTTGTTTGTGTTTTTTGTTTTGTTTATTTGTATATATGTATGAAGGTATATGTGTATACATATTTATGTATGTATATGTGTAGGTAGGTATTTATTTATATGGATATATATAGCAACATAATTATAAATATTGTAAATTGAAGAAATACAAGAATTAAAGGGGTAGGAGCACATAAGTTTTACTTCTTCCTACTCCTTTTCGCACATATAATAGAGGTATATTCATTTAGGAAAGAAGGTTACCTTGTTTGTTGTTTTTCTCTCCAATGTTTTTAAACATTGTTTTATTGTTTTTTTTGTTTTTCTCTTGCATGTTCGAAATAAAGAACGAAAAAATAAAATCTATCCAAACTCTATCCAACTGACCGCAACTCTCCTACAAACTCCCAAATCTTCACTGAATACTGAGGCTGTTTAAATCGAAGTTCAGGCCGAGCGGAACCACTTCCTGAATGCAGGATAGCGAGGCTTCAGACATAATCTATTTTGGCTCCTCCCCCAAATAAAGCAAGCCTCGATACACGCCTCGCGGAAACGCCCCCTCCACTACTCGGCACACGCCTTGAAGCCTCGTCTCATCTCATAACATCACTAACATTTACTGAACTATATCTAATGTTACCCGTTTTCTGAGCCAAAAATGCACCAATCACAGATCCACACATGCAGCAGTTTGATGGAGTAAAATATGTTTGTACTGAAGCTTCATTGATTTTATTTGATCTTTCATTTACCAAGACTCCTGGTATACTTTAAAATCTTGTTATGAAAGCATGATCCGAAAATCCGTTTATTCTCCCTTGATTTGTTAAATATCAAGTTACTTATTTACAAAATATTTTTTGGATTTTACCTGTCGTTCTTTTGGATATCTAATTGTACATTTTGATTAAAACCTGTTAAAGTAGTGCTCCTCTTTTCTACATTTGCATTTTTTTGTTAGTTTTTAATTGAGGATGGCTATTATGGAAACAAATATTTACAGCAAAATATTTTTTTGCATTTATTAAAAAGCAAGTTATATTGGACTTTAGTCAAAACACAAAAACCCACATACTGCTTTTAAAAGAACAAAAATCAATAAAGATCAGCTTATCTATTATATTTAAGAACATAAGTTACATTAAGGTGTTTATTTTGAATAAACAGCATTTAATATTATCATTGAACTTGCCGTGAAAAAAAAAAAAAAGTTAAAGTAAGAATCTAACAATACAATTTTTTTGGGGTGTAAAAATATATTGTTGAGTTAATTGTTGTCACAAGAAATCTTAACTGAAGACAGAATCAACTAACGGTGAATGTAAAGCCCTCTGACCAACAATTGGATCTTGGTCCAAACCAAATTCCGTTTGTAATGACTTATTATCCAGTGATGGTTGAATAATTTGTTGTTGTTGTTTTTGTTCTCTTCATCTTCCTCAGCTGAAGATGTTCTATGAGGAGCATTTACACCTGGATGATGAAATCCGCTACATCCTGGACGGGCAGGCCTACTTCGATGTCCGGGACAAAGAAGACCGATGGATCCGAATCGCCATGAAAAAGGGGGACTTGATCACCCTGCCAGCTGGCATCTACCATCGCTTCACCCTGGATGAGACGGTACAGCTTAGCTTTAAAGTTGTAGGGAAGTCATATTTAAATGTCAAATCATTCTGGCTTAAACATGTATATCAATCTACTCTTTATCAGATGCCGTCCCAAAAGTTAGAACATTTATATTTAAAAACAAATCCTGTCTTAAAATCTGTTTTTTATTTTTTCGTTATCTTAAGCGGGTCAGTTAGTTATACGTCGGCTTGTACACCTAAATTCGGCCAATCATATATCGACGGTCATCTGTCAATCAAATGTTTTCTGACATTGCATCTTGATTCATATGTTGCAGCTAATATACGCAACGGTTGAAATAAAAATCATTTACTTTCCGATTGAGTTACATCCCAGTGTTCACGGGGATGGACGTCTGTGTCTTCGGCAGGCTTAGAGCTAACAGAACCGGCAGCGTTGCGAGGCAAGGGCTCAAACATGTACAGCTGTAAGCCTTCTACACTAAACGAAGCTTCTGCCGCCCTGGCGTCCTCTTCCACAACATCTTCGTCCCCGCTTTCCTCCTCTAAATAAGAAATGTATGACGGAGGAGTCTCCTCTTGCGTGTTTCCGCTGTCCATAGCGTTCCTTGACAGTGTCGTTGTTGAGTGCTACTTGATCCCAATGGAATTTTCCATTGGGAACCCACTAGCACTAAGTTGCTAACTGGTTAGCAAGATGCTTCAGACAAACCGGCCACAACCAAAGGGCTTGCGAACCTTCTGCCACAACAATCCCACCCGCTTGGTAAAATACCAGTCACACTCACTTCATTCACTCGAATCTAACATACACGTTGGCTTGGCGCTCTGGGTTCCTGAGCAAGACCCTTAACCACTGATGGCTCCCAGGGTGCCGCACAGTGGCAGCCCACTGCTCCCCAAGAGGAAGGGTCAAAATGCAGAGAATTAATTTCCCCATCGTGGGACAATAAAGCGATTTTCATTAATAATTTTGGTTTTGTGTGTTTAAATTCAGGGTTTCAAGAATTATAGGAGAATAGGAAAAAAAACTATTATATTGGCATGGGTGTTGCGATACATGTCCCAATAATGACTGCAATATGGCGATATATTGCAATATTTTTCCTGCTATCAAAATCAAATGGATAAAAAAGTGCTGTATATGTTCATCAGAAGATATTTTTTTATGGTTATTTTGGTATCTATGTTGGTCGGGGTTTGAGTCACTCCACGTCTTCTATTGTGAGTGCTTGAACTATGGGATTGGCGCTGCGCCGCATAGCAAAAGGGCTCCACAGCGCCACCTGCCAGAGGTAGCCCATTTTCCATCATTGTTTTAGGTAAACATGTTTTGTTTTTCTAAATCGATGCTAGGAAGCGAGAGATCGATATTATATCTGGCAGCCGAATATCACGATATATCACTAAAACGATTACATTCCACAAACCTAGACTTTAATATATATATTTTTTGTCATTCCATCTTATCACGCAGGATGTAATTTATGGGTTTGGACTGGATGAGTTGTTTTATATGTGGAGGTGATGAAGTGAGGAGTCACAGCAGGCTAACTGATAGAGCTATGGTTCCCTGTTTCTGCAGGATTACACCAAAGCCATGCGGCTGTTTGTCGGGGAGCCGGTGTGGAAGGCCTACAACCGGCCGGCCGACGACTTCGACATCCGGCAGAAATACTTGGCTTCACTACAGGGATCCTGAGAGGGAGCAAATTCCCTCCTATACACTAAAATCACCACCTCCATTGTTACTCCTGTTGGTCAGCAAGAAGATTGATGAAAACCTTTTATGATTGAAATCTTCACTTACAAGGCCTTAGATAACTCCTAGTGTTATGCAGGACAGGGCTCACTTCAGATGTGTCTACTGCTTTTTGTTTCAAAACATTATGTATTCTTTTACCTGCATTTCAGGTGAGGAATTTGAAGTAAACCCTTTTCCACTAAAATGTGCCTTTACTTGTAATAATCAAACCATTGTTAACATAATTCAGAAAAATGGTCAAGATGGTGTTTAGAAGTATGACGGATTATTAGGGCAAGGCTAGATATATTTTTTTCTTCTATATCGAGAACAAAGTCATAACATTACGACAGGTCGTAAAATTACGAGAATAAAGTCGTAGAATTACGAAAAACATGTATTTTATGACAACTCTTACAAGAAGTACTTTTTTCCCTAAAATGAGGAATGTCAAGCATTATGTGTTATACTTTGGCTCTGGTTTGATAAATAAGGAAATCTTTTAGCACACCAGCATCAAATTGGGCAGCATGTAAAAGCGCACTCAGGTTGCTTTTTGCTGATCGGAGCTCGAAGCTTTCTTTCTGAAACCGGTTGTTGTATGATGACTTTATTCTTGTAATTTTACAACTTTATTCTCGTAATGTTA